CTAGACTTCGATATTCTCTTTCATTACTTCTCTTTTTCATTTTTTTTATTTATCCATCCATTTCTTCTTGATTCCTTTCTTACGTTTTGCAGAGTACTGTATGTCCCACATAACAATCAATCGATGATTACACAGCACTGATTTAGATCTTGATTTCCATCTTATGTTCAATTAATCCACTCATTCTTTACTTTTTTTAAGGAAACATCTCCATCAAATTCGACAAGAAGAAGTATCTCTTGCATCAGTTTCATTTTCATTTTGGATGTAAAGACAGCCAAGGTTCTGAACATACCATTGACAAAAAGGCATACGATGCTGAGGTATGCTGATGGCATTCCTGCAAATTTTGTTAGCGATAAAATCTCCATATGTGACCATGTGACCATTACACGTTGCCCAAGATTTTGATACTGACTTATCCGTGATATTCAATCTTCACTATCATGTCACTATGGCAATCAACTTGAGTTAGTTTATATAGTTTATATAGTCCAAATGTCAGTCGCAATATACAGTAAAAGACCGAGTATGATCTGCTTCGATACAACATCGTATTTTTAAAAATACTTTCTAAAGCTAATTTAATTCCAAGTCTATTTGATGCACGGCTAATCCTCTTATTGCGCACGTGTAGAGGAGACTGGACATTTCGGTCAGAGCTCGTTTTTATCATGCACTGTACTCTTCGAAAAACTATTATTACCTTTCATAGTCATCACTGCTCTAGTTGTTAAGTATTTTGCTGCTTTGCAGATGCATTTAGTATTCCGTAACAAAAAATACAAGTTCGAAAAAGCGACGCAGAAAAAAGATGGTTTATTGGTGATTGGAGTTCTTATCAAGAAGGTATTAATTAATAGATGTAAAAACGTTAATAAAAGGAATCAATCAATCAATCAATCAATCAATCGATAGTACTACTCTTATCTGCTTATTGTGCTTTTAGTACGAAATATTTATTTACATATTTTCATTTATACTGTAGTAGAAAATTATTATCATTGTTATCAACTAATTAGCCAATCATTCATTCAACTAGTCAATCAACCAATCACTTCAAATCTTCAAATTGCTTGAATTTTAGAGTGGTTTTTACAATAACAACGGTTTGGATGGTCTTCAGTTACTGGGCCTTTTTTCCGTCCTTGTGCACGGTTAGTACGGTTTGTAACGTGCATATATTTGAATACGCGCGTTTTTAAAAGATATTGCACTGAGCATGCTCATTTCAACCCTTTCATAATTTTGCTTTCTTTTTAGGCGTGCCAAAGATTACTACTGACCTGTCTTTGAAGAAGCTGATACCAGCCTTGGCGTATAAAAAGAAACAAGACGCGCCTGCGTACTATACGTAYAAGGGATCTCTCACAACACCAGGCTGCTATGAATCTGTTCGTTGGGTCATTCTGAAAGAACCAATCAAAATCGGCAGTTACTTGGTGAGTGTTTTTTTTCTGATTTAGTAAAGCTATAGAAACGCCTGCAGGCTACCAGGTGTATAGGTTTAGGACGTCTTCATCAGTAATAWTTTGCAGCGGATCGGGATCAAATCCGCTGTGTAGTCCGAGTCAGCGATCACTTTGTTAAAAAATAAGGATGAAAAGCGTTTTCTAGCCAGTGATCTTCAGGATCAAGGAGCAAGCTGTAGCCAACGGGGACAGGTATAACTGAAAGGACTTCAGAAGCTGTATWTAGTATAAGCCGTCACTACCATGTCAGTAAGTATCGTACAACTGTCGTACAACTGTCATATGATCGTCGTAGAGCTGTCGCATAATCATCGTATACCTGTCGTAAGTTATAGCGTTTATTATCATTAGTACTGTCATACCCTTAACCATCATTGTCATTCTTTAACATTAAAAATRTTGTGATAAATAGAGGATATTACATGGTCGCTTGGAGATACGAATTTTTATCTTCTCGTGTTGAAAATCTCTCACTTGTTCGCATTCTGTTTATCATGTAATCAATGAAAGCAAATTATGTTTCAAAGTAACTTTTATYTACCTTCAATATATAAGAAACAATKAATGTGTTATTTTCACTAGTAAAAATATCAACTTTGCRTAATRGAGAAAATATAGGTATTTTATTATGGATAAYTATATGATAATCTACTTTTTTCTTGCATTTCAGATGAATATTATTCGACGATTACAGACAAAAATAGGTCATAGCTTTAAACATTTATGCAACAACTACAGACCAACTCAAAAGMTCAACAAGCGCAAAGTAGAGATCTTTGAGTCTAAAAAGAAGAAGAATCAGAACGAAGATGAAGAGAGCGAAGATGYAGCGAGTGGTTCGAATGTTGGTTCGAGTGAAGATGATGGCAGTAGTGAAGATGAATTTGATTAGTCTGACAGTCTGACAAGAGTGAGGTGGTAAAACGGCTGTGCACAAAATGGTATTGGGAAAATTTGTTTCATAAAATGTCATTCGTCTGCTAAGAACGTTCAAACGTTTATCATTTTATTATTATTAAATAATAAAAATWATTATATTATTATTAAAAAATATGATAAAATTGAAATTGTACTAAATTATATTATCAATGCGCATGATGACTATAACAAATTAAAAAATACAAAAAAAAATGGAGATAAGTATAAATAATAATAATAAAAAAACAAAATATAATAATAAAATATGAGTCAATCGTTACGCCCGGGATTCGATCTCGCGACCATTACACACCATCATCGGATTTGAACGCAGCGCCTTAACAAGATGCGCCACTGTACCACACTCATTTACATAATAATAGACCACTTGACACATTCACCGAATAGACTACCCCAATTTGACATTATATTTTCGATAGTTGCCTAGTTAGTGCAAGGGGTTATCCATCAGTGTCTAGGGGCCGGATAGCTTCTCCCTCACTGGCTTTTTAGTTAGCGCGAAGTTAGGACCAATTATCGGGATAGCATGGAAGAGCCGAAATCTCTARMCGRAMTGTAAATCGATTCGACGCCTCAGCTTCACAGAATGTCTCGGGGGAATCGTCCCAACCTTTTTCCATTTTGTTGGCTGTGGTTCGAATCCTAGGATGGTAGTTTTTCTTCTTTTTTTTCTTTTTTTCTTGCATGTTTCATTTATCTCTTCCCCTTTTTTACTTGTTCTTATTAAACTAGTCAATTTTTTAAAGAAAATTTGTTTAGATTAATCTTATTAATTTTTTTAAACCAATTTTGACGGTGCTCGGCTTTAATTCCAGCATTTTATCAATCAGCTAGTAGTCATTGTCACTTTTTATTTTTCGCTTTGCTGATAAAAATATGAGATTACCTAATTTTTCCGCTGGTGCGGGGATCAATTGATTTTGAAAACATGACAGTCAGTAGTTTTTCGATGTAAATATTTGTCCAAAATTAGCAGGTCGACTTTGAATGCGATAGTGCTTCGTAGAAAAACAACGTCTCAGATCATCACAGCAAGCAAAGAGGTAAGACTGTGTCCGTCCTTAGAGCGAAAAGAACTAATTACTCTTTACTTTACTATCTAAATTGGGTTAGGTAATGTSTTTGAACATACAAAATACTTATCGCTTAGTACGAAAAATTCCACGGCTTGTTACAACTGAATAATTCTCGAATCCCTGAACTAATGTGCATTTCAATCATAGTTGGACACTTCAACGGCGTATAAAGTTTACAAACTAAAAATTAACTTATTAAGTAAAGAGGATAAAAAAATTGCCTGAATAAGAACATCTTACACGGTAAATGTTAGGAAAACATCAACGAGAAGATTTTATGATGAACAAGTGTTCTCGATTTTAAATTCATTTGATCAAATGTCGCTTGTCAATTATCCCGTTATGTTTTTGCGCTATAGTCACACATAAATTTTTCTCCGGTAACAAGGCCAGATCAATCTGATAGATAGTGGAAGCCCATGTGAGCGGTGTTTGAGCGTATAGTTTTTATTTTTTTTATTTTTTTGAGCGTATAGTTCTTTTATTCTCTTATTGAAACTAACTGTAGCATTGTTTAATTTAAAGACTACAATGCTGGAATAACTGTTCAGTCATTCTTTTATGTTTCATTGTAGATGCATCTTGCAGGTATATTATTGCTTTTTTGCGCAATTGTCACAATTGCATATGCYAAGCCAAAGAAGGAGAAGAAAGAGGAAAAAGGTGCGCTTACAAAATCATCATATTGCTTATATATCATATGTATAGGGTAGTATTATACATACAGCTAACGCCATCTTTGGAAGTACCCCAGTCAGACAGGGGTTGAGCTTGCCATTACAAATACCTTTTCACGCCTAGGACAATCATTCAAATAAATCTATCATTGCAACAAACACTGTCTGGCTTTAATAAAAGGATTGGTTGCTTATCACGAAGATGGTGCTGGGAACTGTAAAATGGAGTATTTAACCCCTACTGCGTACTGAATGCCAAAGTATTGAACGTCTAACCATATTTTCGTTCCCCATAAAGCACAAAGTGGCATGCAAGCTACAATTCCGCTTCAATTATATCAGTAGAGTGACCGCGATAATCACTGACATCTATGAAATTCTATTTCAGCAAAATGGAGCTACAAAGACACCGCAAAGGAATACAGCTATTCCACACAAAAGAATGAAGAGGGTTGGTTTCAAGTTGTCAATCTGATAGCGTGCTTTGTTTTCATGAGATAGTTTGTGTTGCGATTGCAGTTGTGACAACTTTGTTGTGAAAGCCATATGCATGGTCTTGACGAGATGATGATACATGGGTTATCTAGAAATATAAATTAATGTGTCCGAGTCATGTGACCAGCCTCTGGTCTGACACTTCATAGCACTTACTGACAAATGGAGAAAGAAACTCTTCGTTATTATCTAGTTTTTATCGTAAAAAAAAGAGGATTGTGATCGAGTTATCACTAATGACGTTATTAGGGGCCATGGTCCACAATCATCCCTTTCGAAATTTTGTTGATGTTTGATACTAAACATACTTCTCAATATAATCAAAACTTACTCTTGATTATCCCTTTATGCTATATGAATCGAGGCCTTGAAAGCAGAAAAATTCGACTTAAAATCATCGGATGGAAAGGATATTTGAAGTCACTTTCCATGCATAAAAAATATAAAACACTACCTTCAAGATTCCAGCTCATTTTCAAAGAAATRCTTTTGTTCTATAGTTTTAGGGCCAAAAGATTGGGGAAAAGCATTTGAAAAATGCGGCAAAGGCAAAGCACAATCTCCGATCGACATTGTATCCAAAAAAGCGAAAAAGACTAAGTTTGGACCACTGAAGCTAAAATTCGAAGACAAAAACAAAGATGGATTCTTCAGGGGAAGTTTAGTGAACGATGGTCATGCCCCCGTWTTCACAATGGATAAAAAAGAAGGTAGATACTTAATGTAACATTAGGTTTTAAATTTTTGGAATTCATTTCGGAGGCAAAGCTAGATGTGATCATAATGCTCCCAAGGCAACCCCCTTGTCAGACCTAAATTGAAATTCTTTGAGTTGAGTTCCCGTACTTAGTCGACTGAATATGACTGGATATTTCAATAATTAGAATTGTGCAAGATTATCAAATGCTCTTGTGTGCAACTCAATGTGTGTTGACATAATGTCTTTGTGTTCCCTGAAGATGACCGCTTAGGTCGAAAGCTTGGAATAAATTGTTAAAGTTATTCATAGTTGATTTACCAAAATACTTGTAAATAATGTTTTTTACCACAACAGGAAATATAACTATTAAATTCGATAAGAAGGAATATATTCTGGAAAAGTTTCTCACACACTTTGGATGTAAAGACAAGAAAGGTTCTGAGCATACTATCGACGAAAAGGCATTTGAAGGAGAGGTAAATTAGCCTTTATCTAAACGAGCAGGAGACTGGGTACTAGTTATCTAAATTAACCTAATTAAAAAAATAATCATATCATTGGCAAGACCACCACAAAATAAACAAGATTCCAAGGTTTGGTTGCTTTTGGTTAAATAATGTGTAAGAAATGGACCTTCAAAATTGTCAAAAATTACAAGGAAATGTATGTATTGGATGGACACTTTTCCTTTCCACTTATTCTCTCTGACTTTTGACAGATGCAGTTCGTGTTTTACAACAAGAAAGAAAAACCTGAAAAAGCGGAAAAAAAGAAGGATGGTGTCTTGGCGATATCAGTCTTTCTTGAAAAATCRAAGGTTAGTCTAGTATCTAATGTATTATCTTGCTATAAAACAAAAAAAGACTGACTTGCGCAAAGAAACATCCCAAAACAAAACTGACAAAAACGAAAAAATTAGTTTCTCCGATGTGAGCGTAAGTCTGTATTCATAAAAAAAACTTTTCAGTTTGATCGGTTAACCTTAGATCGAAGAAATTTGTCGAGAAACTGCATGTACTGACATGAACAGTTTTCGAGCTTTCTTTTGGTTTTTGGCAGGTCTTTGAAGTGAGTCAAAATTAAATCAGCGATCGCTCACTGAAAAAAGGCGAAGTCTAATTGTAGATATATGTTTTATGCAGGACTACTATTACTWCTACAACAAAAAGGAAGGTCCTGATGGTCTTTTGACGGCCCCMCTAACAGTCATATCGAGTGGTTATGTTAGAGTAGGTAGGTACTGTAAATTAAATCATGAACGAGCTCATTCAGTAAACACTGATTCACACCCGATCATAAAAGAATATACCATTCTATCAGAAGTACATACTGATACTGTACTCTATTCAATTCAACTTTTTGTTGTAATTCTAGGTATGCCAGTAGTTACTACTGAACTACCTCTAAAGAAGCTGATCCCATCCTTGGTGTATAAAAAGAAAAAAGACGCACCTGAGTACTACACGTACAAGGGATCTCTTACACAGCCAGGCTGTCATGAGAATGTTCGCTGGGTCATTCTGAAAGAACCAGTAGAAATCAGCTGGTATTTGGTGAGTGAAGAAGTAACGCCAAGATCATCACATTATCAGCGAATACTCTAGTTTCGTGCAGCCTTAACATCAAATAAGCTCTTCATGTGAATGAATGTTAGGGTTGGCCATGMTGTACAGTTACTATATGGTCCTAACATACAACTGCCTTGTGCACAACTTTTTCCAGCCCAACGCGTGGATCAGTTCACGTGACCGTCGATTAATCAAAATCTGCTCGGCTCACTGAGACGGCAGTATACCGCGTGAACCGGGTGTTTATTCCCCGTCTAACAAATCATATGATATATCCTGAGATTTAGSTGATTTAGGGACATAAAAATACATTACAAGACAAAATGATAGCAGGTGTTATTTTCTATGCATAACGCGCAGGTTCACCGAACAATGTTTATTTGTATTTCAGTTGAACATGTTCCGAAGTTTGAAGACAAAAGATGGTTATGACTTCTTTGGCTTCTACAAAGAATGTGACAACTTTAGACCAACTCAAAAGCTCAAAAAACGTAAAGTTGAGGTATTTAAACAGAAAAAGAAGGAGAAGAAGGACAAGAAGGAGAAGAAGAAGAACGAAGACGAAGAGAGCGAGAGCCAGGATGAAGAGATAAACGAATCAGGGAGTGGAAATGTTGATAGTGATGAAGAAGGCAGCGGACATGATTAACATGAACACAGAGACCGACTGGCTATTCATTGGCYAAGTTAGAGTTATGTTCCTTATATAGGTAGTTTTCAAAATGTTTCGTAAAATATTTAGCCGACTTGGACTGCAGACCCGCATACMAGACAGACAGAGAGAGAAGCTAAGGTCGGTCATGTCCGAACCTCGCATACACGTGGTTATGTAAATCTTACTGTTAGAAATAAAACAAGCATTCAAAATTGAAAATTTAGTCTATTGTCTATTTATCCACCGTTTATACGCAAGCACCACCCAATTTTCAGATGCAAAGGTCTCTGCTCAGTTCTATGCAATCCACAAGACCAAAAAGGATTATGGGTGTAAATCAATTTGCAATCAATAGTCTTTTTCACGGTTCCCTGCGCCAACTTGAAAGGTACCCGTGCCTTTGCATTGAAGCTAGACGACCGTTGAGCGTGCAATGATAGAAACCTTCTTTTACACCTACAGACATTTATTCACAGGTATCTATCATTGCACTCTCAACAGTTGTCTCGCTTCGATGTAAAGGAGACTATTTCTAGCCGCATGCATAATCAAACACATTTTGAGACGGATCTGTTTCCATTGTTATAAGCCTGGAGCATAATATAAAAACTCTACTGGCCACCGCCTTGAATACCGACTTATTCAAACCACCATTCAACCTCGTTCCCAGGCCCTTTATCCCTTCGTTTAAGGATAAAGGGCCTGGGAACGAGGCTGACCACCATGACATAAGATTTCCCATGTATCTGTGCGATTTTTAATTAAAATGTATATATAACCTGAAAATTACATCCGTTTAGAAGAGGGCGTATTTCTTCAGCAGATGTTGACTTTCACCTGTTCAAATAATGATATTGCACGTATGCTGCCTTGAGAATGATACAATAGTCCAATAACACAARACTGACTTTGTCAATCGGCTTTAACTTATGAGTTGATAGAGTTTGCCTGTCAAAAACGCCTAGTTTAATACAAATTTCTTGTCTTGTCATTCACATTAAAACTGTACTTATCATGAAATTTTTGGCTTGAGGGATGTGGCTGTTGCTACACGCTGTACTCGCACTCGGGCTTGCTATGCAATCTCTCTCCATTTGTTTTTAATTCGTTGCATTTCCAGCCGAAACGTTAATTGATTGAATATAAGAAAACCTTGAAAATGGCTGCTTAGGCCGAAAGTTCGGTTAAAAATAAATCCGTTCTACGCAGAAGACTCAAGGAAGACTCAAAAGTATTACTAATATGCCTGTGTACAACGAAATTCTWAAAAAAATTGCAGAAAATCAAGAGAGTTTCAAATTTTCTCTGCAACAGATACGGCCTTTAGAATAGATTTCCATTAAATACACTTCAACGTACTTAACTTATATTAACGGTCTTAATTTAACACGACTTTTCGGTGTATCACACACTTCATTTAAACATTGAGTATTACACCTTGTTTCACGGATTTAAGGCTCATAAGCCCATGATTAATAAAACCACTCTGTTTCAACGACAAATCAAGACCACCAATCTCAAATATTTTATGTCAAACTTGACATCAAATATATGTTGGAACCGGATTGCTAAAACATGACAAGAGAAGGGTTCCAGGTGTTCAAACATAGCATTGCTCAGCCTTGAAACCAGTGGATCGTGGCGGCGGGCGCAGCTCACTCGAAAAACAACGTCGAACCAAGTACAAGGTAAGAATTAGAATAGCAACTTTTTGAAATATTTTCTTCTCATATGCCAACCTAGTTTCTGTGGTATAATATCGAGGCGGGAGTGATTCAAACGTAACACAAACTAACTAAATTATTATTAACTTAGATTAAACAAATTATACCACAAAACCAGCCGTTTCACCTCGGTTATATTCCGTTAGAAATGTGAATTATAACCAAATGAAATCTCATAATTATTGCAGGTGCATAAGCTTTGGAATATGTTGTTTATAGCAGTGTTTCTYACAGCTCTCGTCAGTGCAGCAACTGCATCAGGTATTAATAATTCTTCATCTGTACTGATGCGTTTTTGTACGTTTCCGTATCATTTGCCTTTGAAAATGTTACGAAAACGCATAGTGTGGTTAATACTCGCAAAAGACAGTAGTGACTCGTCATCAACATTGATGAAAAACATTTGTTTTTTTTGTTTTTTCGCGTGAGCCTATTCAAGCAGAATATCAATGCCATAGCTAGGCTATTGATATATCCGATTTGCGAATTTCACCTCAGTAGTTTTAACACAAAAGAATCAAGACGAGGCGCCGTTCATAAAGCTCGTGAAAAACTATTGTGCACAGCGCCTCGTCTTGATTCYTTTGCATGTGACTTCTGAGGTAAAATTCGCACGCAATTCGGCTTTTAAGATGGATTAGTTACTGAAAATGTTTTTTTTGTCATTTGTTCTTCAGGCAACTGGGGATACGGAAAAACTCAAGGAGATGGTAATAAAACATAATCTTAAGCCTTTAGAATTAAAACACGATAAATCAATTTTTTAACAAATCTTTCAAAAAATTAAAATATCCCGAAGCATCATTTTCGAGTGAAATGCGTTTCCTAAGATATAATAATTAAATCGCCATTCCATCACACCCATGGTGTGTGCGTTTTGTTTTTGTTGCGTTTCGCTTCGTTTCGTTACCCATTTTGACTTTATYACCATCCCTAACACCTTTTCTAACATGCAGTGTACGGTCCAGCGGACTGGGGTCACGTGTCCAAAGATTGTAACGGTCGTTTCCAGACTCCAGTGGACATTAACACAAGATTAGTGCGCGAGTCGGACGATCATCCGTTACGTGTGCGGTCCGATTGGGCAAGTGGTTACTCCAGAGGAAACCTGAAGAACAACGGCCATTCTCCAACCTTCACTATTGTAAAGGGTATGTCTGCATGATATCGATCAAATATGATAGAGCTATTATCATCACGATCATGACCACGGTTATGTTATAATAAATTTGGAATTTAAATGAATAGGCTATAGAGAAAGGAACATTAAACCACGAGAGAATTGAGAATTATACATCTCATGCGAATTTTTCATTCATCGTCCAACAAAATGCTATGTTTTGTGATATAACATCGACATTGTTGCACAGTGCATTAAAGCCAAGATCTTCCTAACGTTATTAATAATAATGCTAGAATATAACTGAGTTAATAGTTCATCATTATTGTCATATTTAAATATAATTTTTCTTATTTTCATTTACCGCTACAAATTGTACAGGAGGAGCATCCCTAAGGAATCCCATCAATGGACAGATCTATCGACTCGCCCAGTTCCATCTTCATTTTGGTTGCGACGACAGTGTTGGCTCTGAACACACCGTAAATGGCAAATATTACCCTGGAGAGGTGAAAAACAAAAATTCCTTCAGCTCACAAATCGAATTGTAAATGTTGCTGGAGTCCAAAACCCACGATAATTTCTAAAATTCAGTACATGCTATTAACATTAATTTCATTTTATCACTTCTTCCATTCGATCATCAGATTGTAGAAATTACTGGTTAATATATGCCATCAAAATAGAAAGTTGACAATTTTTTTGTAACTTTTAGCTGCATCTTGTATTCTTCAATACCAAATATGGCACCATCGGCAATGCTGCTGCAAAACCTGATGGTTTGACAGTCATTGGAGCATTTCTAAGAAAGGTAACTAATTTTAAGAGGGAAATTGAGTTTGAGCAGCAGAGCATGTATGGATTATTTGGAAGGACGTAATTTTCAATATGGTGTCCTAGCACCGATAGAAGTCAACTAATGGAAACTTTTGTTTCTTTTACATTTAGGGCCGAGGAAACTTTGCAATGAAAAAGCTTGCATATAAAATTGGGCAAATCTCAAATGAAGGTAAAAGATCCTAGTTCTATTAGTGTCCAATGCCTCGCCGTCAATTTTTTTCTTTGTGGACTGGTGACCTCGTGTCCTCTCCACAGGAGACCAGTTTTTCCCGGAATACTGCCGTGACAAGTCCTTAAAAATATCTTGTAGCTTCCACCTTCAATCATTAGAATCACCATTTTAATGCTGTCACTCAGGTGCCGAAGCAAAGCATTTCGGGGTTTATTTGGGTTACCTCGTCCCTGGCTTGTCTACTGGGTCACGTGATTACTACTCATACAAGGGATCCCTCACTACCCCTGGTTGCTACGAATCTGTCAGCTGGTTGGTTCTTAGACATCCTATTTTGGCAGATGATCATATGGTAAGTCTAATACTCATTGAATTCCATGTCATGTCTGTACATCTGTTAGTCTAGTGCTCATTAAAAACCATGTCATGTCTGCACATCTGTAAGTCTAGTGCTCATTAAAAACCATGTCATGTCTGTACATCTGTGTTTTCATTTTGTATTTCTAGTTCACGAATCTCAGAAAACTCAAAGCCAAACACGGAAAGAACCCGGGAAAGATGTGCGACAACTACCGTCCTATCCAACCTTTGAATGGACGTCCAATAACGCTATATATGGATGACTAGTTTTAGAGATTCAAAGACGTTGAATCGCTATAGTTTCGCATACTCTAGTGAATCCAAACGTCAATCAATGAATTACTTGATTAAATAACACAATAATCTTATAGTTTGAGTTGCTTTATCTCCGACTGAGTTCGTAACACAATTGCTCAACCGCTCCCTTAAGATTTAACCAGGCTACAGAGTTATAWAACTTTGGCTTACGAAAATAAATAAAGCGTAAGTCCTCTAGGAATTGTGGGAGTTCCTCCTACTTAAAATGTGAATTTTTTCCTAGAACTTCTAATTTCCACGAGTTACAATCCTGAAAGCACACTTTTAGAYATATCAACAGGTCTTATGATCGATCATTTTCTACGTTGTCCCCACGTTCATAAGAAAACTTCACCATAGCCTCCCGCCCGAGAAAATAAAAGAGCGATATAAGAAAGCAAAAGCCGCGTAGTGTATATAATTTATCTTAATGACAACCGAATCAGAAACACATATTGTTTTAGACTGTGTAATGGAAAAGACTATTTAGTTTGATTCGTTGGTAAGGAAAAAACAAAACAATAGACTTTTGAGTGGCRCAGCCAAATTTCAGGACTTTGAATTAGAGCCAAGAAATTCTAAAAATACCCCCACTAAAGACATATCTTAGCTAAGTAAACAATTGTAGAGTTTTAATATTTGAAACATCAAGTTCTTTATGGGATGTATTGAAACTTATTGAATTGCGTCGTATAACCAGGCAACTTAAAAGCCGTGGAAACATTCAAGGAATTGTTTTCACACACACTCGTAGAACATTGAATTACGTTCGTATTCTCATTTTGGGGCTGGAACCTAGCTTGAAATAGAGGCTCGTGGGGAGAACTCGTTATATTCGTGTTAAGCCTCTGTTGTAAGCTCGTGCCAGTCCTATAATGAGCATGTGAATATATTTGGTATATTACAAGTAAATACTAAATCACTTTGAAGGCTTTCTTTAACACCTTACAAGTTAAGGTAAGCTCTGTAGTATAAACGATCATCGTTTTGACTAAAAAGCTGAAAAAGTCACTTTTTTTCGACATTATTAGTTAAAACTCATGTAATTTGATACCTATTTGTTTCGGCTTCAGCTACTTTTGGTACCGAGATGTCCTTGTTTTTTTACGAGTACAATTGCATTGTTTTGGTCGATTTTGAGACTTCATTTTGATTTCTGCAAGACAGAAAAGACTTAATCTGTGGTTGCTTAAGAATTGTTGCAGTGTAAATTAAAAGATAAAATATTGTCTTTGTCGGAAAAAGCTAATTATGATAACACAAGCGTGATAAAATAGGATTATCTGTAGGTTTAAGAAAAAAAATCAATCAATTAATCAATTTTGCAAAAAATAAAAACAATTCTAGGATTCAAAAATGACGTTGTTGAAGTTGAGTTGCATTTGTATATTTTTCTTATTTTGTAGTGCACATCAAGATGCTCTTTTTTCTATTATTCCTTGTTACAATAATAGGAGGAGCTGATGCCTCAGGTAAGCCGCTTAGTTGTGCCAAGTGTCTAATTGTCCCTAGCCTATTAAATCTAAGCCATAAATCGTCCACAAAAGAAAAAACGTGAGGAAAAGAATATTAACTAAAACGAATAATGAGATAAACAATAAAAACAGCCTCTGATTTTAACTTTTGATCGTCTGCAAACGTGGGCGATGGCTTGAATTGAACATACTTCTCTATCGTTCGTACAATTGCTTAGTTCCCTCCTTCCTCTAATCTCTTTCAGGAGYCTGGGGATATGGCGATACAACKAGTGAAGGTAAACTTATCAACGGAGAAAATATGAAAAATAAATTCGAATCAAATCAGTTATAACTGCTTGAATTTTCAAAGTTTGCTAATTGCGGATAGAAGTAACTTGTAAACAGACAGGTTATATTTTATGTCTTGAAAAACGTTTCGCACCACGCTAGGACAAATTTCAGTGATCATAAAAATTATTGTAAAATATATTAATAATAATTTATTATTAAAATTAATAATAGATATAAATATAATAATGATAATAATAATAAATTATTATTCTTTCATTGGCCAATATATTTTYGAATATTCCCAGTAAAACAAGCGCGARCTGAGCCACTGAGAATAATGCTTAYGAGAAAAATGTTGCTGGGACAACAATYTTTATTCACCATGAATGTACCCCATGGATTATGTATCACTTTCATTATTGTAACCTAATCCTCAAATAAATACACAAAAATAGTGCTGGTTCATACTATAACATAAGAAGTGTGGTAAATTTCTACCCGTGAATCAGGAAAACGTGCAGAAGACAATGTAAAACTTTTCCCATTTTCTTCTGCTTTTGCTGCGTTGAAAACTTAGAAATGTGAACCTGCACAACTCAAGCCCTAAGGTTATGATTATGTCAAATGTAAACACCTTTTTTCTTATGTCGACGAGTGCACATTAGATAAACTAAAAAGACAAAAATACAAGTASTAGTACTTGTGCTTATGCTAATATGAAAACCAGACTGTATATTCATCGAGCGCGCATAAATCAATTCATATCAGTTGATATCATACACTATGGCATCGAGACAGACGCCMAAAATATGTTCCAGATACGGATATAGTGTTTACAATTCAGACCTATAGCAGTAGTCTTAATGCAACTACAATCACTTCATATTGCATAGCCTACGGACCAGCAGACTGGGGTCACGTGTCTAAGATCTGCAGCGACGGGAAACACCAGTCCCCAGTAGACATCAACACAGATGATTCTGACAATGATTCTGATGATGATGCTAATCTTGAGCTAAGCCTTAGTTACGATGAAGAAGTTGACGGCTTTAGTGAGGGAACCTTTAAAAACAACGGCCATTCACCTACGTTCGCCATCATGAAAGGTATAGTTTTATTAATCTATCAATCAATTATGGCSATCCAATGAGCGACGAGAAAAATGTAAACAAAWACTCAGTCTCCCAGGATACATTGCGTGCTCAAAATCCAAGATGTCTGCCGCGCACATTGGCTATTTATCGTATTTATACCTGTGTTATGTCATTATAAGGAGGAGCAACACTCAGGAACCCCATCAACGATAAGTTTTATCGACTGGCCCAGTTCCATTTTCATTTTGGTTGCCAAGACAACGTAGGCTCTGAACACACGATAAAAGGGAAACCTTATCCAGGCGAGGTAAACATAAATGAGATTAGTTGAAAAAAGCTATATATAATAGATGTTTATACGAATGGCGCAATGCASAATACAACTCTGCAGAACTCTGAGAATTAAAGCATAATAATGATAGAAAATTTAGAGCTTCTATTCATCCAATAGTTTATATAATTTTCAATTATTTTCAGCTCCATCTCGTTTTCTATAATACCGACCACGCAGATGTTACCATAGCTGCAAATAARCCTGATGGRCTGACTGTCATTGGAGTATTCCTGAAGAAAGTACGATGAGTATATCACACGTTATTGTTTTCACACAGGCAGAACATACTTCTCGAATCATAGAGTCACCACAAACCATAGTTAGTAGAGGGGAATATTCCCCTCTACTAACTATGCACAAACTTTGCACTWGATACTCCCGAGCCATGAAAAACAATCAAGTCTTGATACTAACTAGTAGGACTTGTAGTCTATACTAGCTATTTCACGGGTGAATTGTAACTAACTCCACTAAGCTGTTATCACTTCATCCATATATGACACACGAAATTCCTTGAATGATTAACCAGAAAAAGTCTTCTTCACGTTAATTCCCTGCACCATCTTGAAAGGTAGCGAGCCGTGCCTATAACCCACCTAAATGAGTGAAAATGGACGATTTCTGACCAAAAGGCATATGCTATAGCGCTGCATCGAAGCGAGTCCACCGTTGAGCTTGCAAGGATAGATATCTGTGAATAATTGTATGGAGCCAGTGTAAACTATAAGAAGATATGCACACTCACTGGTCGTCTAGCTTCCATGCATTGACTCGGCTACCTTTCAAGACAGCGCGCGGAATGAGACTATTCATTTTGTTTAATCAGGATAAAAGTGCTAATTTGGAGTTGAAAAAGATTGCTAAACAAGTGGAGAAAATCGCATCTGAAGGTAGATTTCACAGTAAGATAAAACTGTCCTCGATAATGATCTTCAAATCATGCAAAACTGTCCATTTTTTACAAGGTGCYGAAGTTTCAGATGCTAAAGTAAGTTTGAGGACTCTCCTTCCTGATAAATTGCGCTATGGAACACACGATTTCTACTCATACAARGGATCCCTCACTACCCCTGGTTGCTACGAATCTGTCAGCTGGTTGGTTCTTRAAAATCCTCTAAAAGCTGATGATCAAGTGGTGGGTAGCAGTAGCAGCATGATCTATAGCAATAATAGTGGCAGAGATAGTGAGAGTGGCAGTATATGTAGTTGTAAGAGCTGCACCYCTTCCTGAAGAAAATCAAGAATTCGCCCATGGATGCCTTCTAAAAAACTCGTAACAAACTGAGACACAAATTAATGGTTGGGCATTACAAGACACGAGGTATCAGTGGGGGGCACTCCCCCTGCAAGAACTATCTGGATTTTCTACTGAATATTAGTATAATTATAGCTAATAATTTCAATAGCATCGAGAGTTTCCACGACTCCCGGGAGCTGAAATTGTATTTTCTATTTGTATTCCAGTTTGCTAGTTTCAGAAAACTCGAGTCTAAGCACGGRAAGCATCATGGGAAGATGTGTGATAACTTCCGCCCCACTCAGCATTTGAACGGACGAGTAGTTACTTCGCACTCGACAGATGACGACGACGACTAGACATAAAGAGCTGTATAACTGAGTTTGAGGGGATTATATACACTCAGGGATATACCCATATATATACCCATCAATGTTTGTTTACGAATTTTTCTTCAACTGTTGTAAAACATATAGTGAACTGAAGAGGATTTAATAAACGAAACTAGTTTTCACTATTCTTGGTAGTCCCTGGCCTGTACGTACGAAAATCGTTACGTTGGAGTGATTTACATTTGTAAAGTTTATGGATATTGGATTAGCTTTAGAAATTTAAATCTCGCGCTCATAAACTTCATGGTTAAAATAAATGTCTCCTTTGATTTACACTTTCATTGTCAAAACATTGTTATGCGACTTACTGCAATTAATACAAAATATGCAAGAAAAAAAGTGTAGATCGTCATTAAATCAATATTTGCATGGATAGGTTTTTAGCACTAGTAGTTTTTTCCCCCTAAATTTCATTTGCATTGTTTTGTTTGGTCCGTTTTTGAATAAATAAATTAACGCTAGAATACCCCATGCACGTCTTTCACAAATGAATTTCGAGTTTTAATTGATTTTAGGTGTCATTTTCTGAATTGTCAATCACCTATGAGGAGGCGTGGCTCACCAAAGTGACAGCATACTAATTGGCAATGTATACAACTCAAAAAACACTCATATTTAGAAACAAAAATTGACCACAAGGCTATAATTCAAGCAGAAAAAATACATTTATTATCATTTACTGTATCATATTCCTGAAAAYTATATAAAAGAAATATTTTGAGTAAGTGAAAGTTTGAATGAATAAAGCCTACCGGTCGCACATGTTACGGGGATTGTGATAAAGGTCACCGGACTAATGGATGGTAAACCATTAAACTACCATCAGGTAGTTAAAACCTGCACGTTAATATATATTGAACACAGTGTCGATCCATCTATCGCCAGCCAAGGATACATTGATATGTGGGTTTTGTACATGATGCTTTCGTATTGGTTGGTCTATTTTCTGTTCAACGACTATGTACATGCATCGTCTGGTAAGGTTTATTTTTCTAGAAACACTGAATTTTGTTTTTCTAAGTCAATCACCATAATAAATCGATAACAATGACAAGGAAACAGTTTGCATATCAAAATAAACATTTTCATATTTGATATTTGTGCGATTATAAAAATTTGAATCGCAATTCTTTCATATAATCCTAATAATCATTGATATAGATCTTTTATTTAGATGGTCMTGAATGGGGATACGGTGAAACACATGATAAAGGTATAAAATTCGGACCAACATCCCTCTCCTCTTCCCATCTCCCTTCCTTTTTACCTCCATTTCTCCCCTCCTCCCTTTCTTCCCTGCCTGTTTAACCGTGTCAAACTAGTACTAAAGAAGAGGCTTTAACATTGGTAGTGTATGGGATAAACGACTGGGGGAAAATCTCCGAAACTTGCAGAGATGGAAAGCGGCAATCCCCTGTTAATATTAACACGTCTAAAGCAAAAGCTGGGGACAGTAGTAGCACCGATAGACTTGTGAGTTACGACGAACGACATGGCAAAGTGACTGGAGACCTTGTGAATAATGGTCACTCTCCCACTTTTAAAGTAACAAATGGTAAGTACGACGGGGTGTTGTGTTCCTTATCAATCTCACTATGACGTCACGTGACACCAATATACTCCGTTTTTGAATTAGGAAACGTTATATACACAAATCCACGTAACAAAGCCAAATACAAGCTGGCGCAGTTTCATTTCCACTTTGGTTGTAAAGACAGTGTTGGCTCTGAACACACTGTTGATGGGAAATCTTACCCAGGCGAGGTAAAACAATATTATTGAAACAGAGTTAGATTGAAACAATTAGATGTCGTAAGTAAATATTATGGGTCGTGAGAGCGAGGTTAGGTACCTGAGCAGATCGAGGTCAGTTGGTGCGCGAACCTGTTATGACTTCCTGCTGTTTATAATAGGTTACAAATTTGTTTTTCGATTCTAATTTATTCTTTGTATTTCTTGCTAAGTTGCATCTAGTTTTCTTCAACACTAATTTCACAGACTTCGACAATGCTGTAACAAAACCCGATGGCTTGACGGTGGTTGGCGTATTCATAAAAAAAGTAAGCATCCCCACTCAATTCCCGATAGTCTTTTCGGTCAAAATCCAAGATGGCTGACCTGTTAGCATGGTTTACTGGTTTTACTGACAAGAATTATATTTTTGTACTATAATATCAACTTTTATTATTTTGTTTAGTCTRAAAAGGCTTCATATCAGATAAGAGAACTTGCGCGAAAAATTGAGAAAATATCAAACGATGATGAAGGTAAAAAAAAAGAAATGAAAAACAAAGTCGTCCTCCTCTCAACGTAGTTTTAACCACAATTTTCAATTTGATTTGTTATTGTATAGATAAACCACTAAAASATGTTGAAGTTAAGCTGAGATGGCTTGTCCCAGGCCTTACTAAGTCAGGATGTATGGAACACTATTCGTACAATGGCTCACTAACAACGCCTGGCTGTCATGAGACTGTCGATTGGCGTGTTCTCAAGAAACCAATCAATGCAAACAACTTTGTGGTGAGTGTACTAAGAAAAACATYGCCTTTTAACCGCATTGAAAGTAATCCTGTTTTACCCAATATGGCAAAATTGTTGTTGAAAACTAATCCAGTATTGTTATTTAACAACTGATATTTAATTAGCAAGTGGAGACTTAACTGTTCTTGTTTCTTTTCAACAGCTCAATCAATTCAGAAAACTCGAGTCGAAAAACTCAAAAAATGGCAAAATGTGCGACAACTTTCGTCCCATTCAAGAACTGAATGACCGAGATATCAAAATGCAGAAGTGACTTGTATTGGTGTATAGGCAATGTAGGGGAAAATATGTCAGAATTACACAAATAAACGCTTTCTAGTCAAGTAATACCGTATTGCGTAATACTCCCTTTTAATTCCCTGCATTAGAGTTCTATTGCTGCCTGACTTACCTACATTAAATATAAGCACCCGTAGTTACTCTTGGCATCCAGTTTTGGCAGAACTTCGATCCACTTAGGGAACAGAGGACTCTTGCAGTGCCTCGCATTCGCTGACATGTGCTTTGCTTTTGAATGAAGTTGAAATATCATTGAAARTGAGGATTCTTTCGTTGCACGAGAATTTGGAGAAATCGATTTGCTGCACGAGATACAGCATGTTAAACAAAAACTTTAAATGAAGTAATCTTTATGTGTGTGCATATGTTGCTATAGAAATCTTTGTCAGGAACAATAAATTCATCAAAATGAATGAATAAATCAGTAAAAAATCAATAAAAAAATCCACAAATACTCAGAGAGTTTGAAGTACTGGATAAATGTATTCAATTTATCTTGTTTTACCCAAGGGTTTAGCATCTTTATTTCAAGCTAATTACTTGAAGTGTATTATTTTGCAAATCTATCCCACGATGCATTTATTGTTTACCATCACCCATATATACACCTAAAACGACCAATCATGTAATGCACTATAGAAAAAATAATTCTCGAAGCCATCAAAATATTGATGTACATCTGTGTTTGTGTAATTGATGAGCAGAAGCAATGTGAACTATTGAGCGTTTCGAATCATTCCCATGAGATTCAGAAGTGGCCATGCTGGAGGAAATGAACTATAGCTACTAATGAGAAATCTTCGGTTGACGCATGGGGAAAACGAAGAATTGTCCAGTTTTATTTCCTTTTTGTTTCTTTCCAGTTCCCGGTGCCGCAATACCTATCTCGCTGCGCCTTTTTGCCTGTGCTGCTTGTGCTAAGCGGTTTGTGCAAGTTTTTGAATAATGCGAAGCTCATCCATTTTTTTACCAAATGCTGAGAGCTATTTGGCTTCAATAATAAAATGAATCTTGTCCTTTCATTGGTTGTAAGGCCGTCTAAAAAAACAAATTCTAAGATCGTTTTGATAGYAGACAAAGCAGCAGTGCTTAGTGATCTCTTACGCCTTGAACAAGAGATTGTTATATGGCTATGTACAAGTGAGTTTTTCTAATATGGATTGAAATTCTTTGTTATTTCTCTGTTATTAACTGGCTGGGTTGGTCTTGCGTTATCACATTGTGAAAATCCATGGCGATTTTTCAGGCTCTTGAACTGTTCCAACTGAAAAATAAATTTTGACGTAATGTTGTAATAGAGAACACGAGGAATACTTTATACGACAAGAAAAGGGCTTTTCTAYGCCTTTTCGCAGCCCCATACAACACGGACACGAATGTTGTAAACGAATTATCATGCTTAAAMACTTATAAACTTGAATAACAGTGAGATTAATGGCGAGAAAYGACTGTGTTGACTTCAGTCGCTAGTAAGCATGCTCAATTTACTAYAACAGAGCRCATTTTGAATAGACWTCCATCCCACATGTAAAGCAAMCCATTTGTTGYCTCTATTATTCATTCACATATTTGACAGGCGTCTTTAGCTTTGCCATCTATAAGCAATCTTACCTGGTCCATTGAAATTGTGAGTTTTTCTTTGAGTACAACCCACGTGACTGACTCGTAACAAGGTGGTGTAGTTAAAGACCCYTTATAAGTAAAGTAGTAGGGGTACGGCCGTGTGAGCTCTGGGACTAGTTTTGTCAGCTCTATTCTGGCATCATTGTTTAACATCACATACGATCCTACACAGAGAGATAATTGGCATGACTGGTTTTAACAAATAACATTTAATTGCACTTCAAAAGCTGAGCATCCAAGATTTTTCAAACGTCTGTTGTTTAGAAGGGAATAGATGATTAAACGCTTTTCCTAATCCTGAACACTGAAGGTGCGCAACCTCTATTTTTAAAATTTCAAAGATTTTAATACCGTTACAAACATAACGGATATAATAAGCCCAKGCCAGGTGCGAGATGGTAGAAAAGAACATAATCTAAAAGAACTCTTAAAAGACGCATTGCAACGATTTCTGTATGATCAATATACGTGACTTGCGGTATATTCTTACTGATGTTTAAGAAAAAYATACTGTAATTTATCACTAGTTTCATACCTGGTTGGGTGATGTTTGGTAGCATTGCTACAAGCCTTTCTAAAGTAGGGTTTACATAGTATGTTGGTCCACCGTAAGGCTAATTCAATAGTAATATTATTGTATTAATAAATCAACAAAGACATCAATCAATTAAAGATTGGTTTTACTTACAGTAAACAATGATGAAACGATTAGTAAGCCATCAGTCTCATTGGCAGCTTCTTTAAAGTCTTTATGTTTGGAATTGTAGAAAACCATTTGCATCTAAAACAAAATCAATCGCTCAATCGATCACATCGATCAATCAATCAATCGATCAATCGATCAATCGACAATCGTTCAATCGATCAATCGATCAATCGATCAATCAGTCAATCGATCAATCGATCAATCGATCAATCAATCAATAAATCGATCAATCAATCGATCAATCGATCAATCGATCAANTAACGAAAGAAAACATTTCAATTACTTATTTCGTTCTTTCTCAAACTACACCGATAGGACACTGGAATAAATCGCGCGATTTTTTCCAGCGGTAAGGACAGAAAGTTCGACTTTTCAAATCCTAAAAGACTTAAAAAAACTTACTTCCAGTCACACACTCCCAGTACCCCCATACAGGCTGACCTAAAAAAAACAAACATAAAGCATGTTTAAGACTTGTTAATTTAAAGTTAATGTAAAGTATTCCAGCAAGGAACCCAGTATTATATATTGCCACTATACCTTTTGGTTTTGGTACCGAAATACCATTAACGATWGTGACGAGGGCCAGGCTGTACAATACCTTGTTAAGTACGTATAGCTTTTTCATGTCAATGAGCTGTTTAAACACAAAAATATATTTAACAAAAATATATGCACTTTATTCAATGCCAGAACTTTCTTTAGAATGGATACAGTTTTTTTCTATGAACTTTCTCTATTTGGTTATTCAGACACCCYTTTATATGTTACGCCAGACACATCGAATTGAATGTTCCCCGGTATGTCATTAGCCCGACCTTTTGAAGCTTGCATTCTTAGCCTAGTTGTACATAAATACTTTACAAACCTAAATTATTTTTTCATGCAATTAACGTAAAGATGTTAAATGGATTTAGTGGATTTTTTTAGGAACAATCAGATAAAATGCCCCGCCACAATATGYATGTCCGATCTGAAGAGCTCCTTAATGTCATGTATTTCCTATAAGCTAAGATCACTTATATTAAACTCATAAAAA